AAAAGGAATCTGGGTTGTCTACTTTGTAGAACTTTTGGTGATAGTCAATAAGTTTGATGCACGACATGAGCTGCCTCTCATGCTAGGCATTACTATTCTCTTTCTATTCAGATGGCCAAACAAGCTTCGACGTCCATCCATCACCCCCTTGCTCGTAGTCTCCCTTGTTGGTTCAAGTGGATATGGATTGAAACGGTTTTGGTGATGAAATTGTATGATGTCTTGTTAATCCTCCGATGTTTTGTACTCTAGCTCCTCAATTCTTTCTAGCACCATCTTGGGCCTTTTACTTGTGTCATTATGCTAGCTTCCATTCGGGGCTGGTGGAGATTGAACTACCTCACGAGGCCACACTATATCTTGCTCATAGTGATAATAAGTTGCTAGATTGCATTCTCTACAAGAGATCCACATATGGTCTTGATCTCTGTCTCATTCCATTTCTTTATCATTAGCCTTGAATTCATAGTAATTAATTACTTGGTCAAAGACTCATTTTGCACAGGCTTAACTATTCGATGCATGATTTTCCCTGCATTTAGAGTGAAATCTCCTATTGTCGCGTCGATCTTGGCTCCTACAGTTGCAAGGATTGTTCTTTGGAAGAGTAACGAATAGGCATCATCGAACTTCATGTTAATCACCACGTAATATGGAAGAAGACGAATGGTCCTACTTGGTTACTCAAGCCTTTGACTATCCCAAGTGCTTGACATGAGTGATATTGTCTACTAACTTGATCTCTATGTTGATGTCCTCCATATCGGAAAGACCCATCTCTTCGTAGAGATAAAGAGGTAGGATGTTTATTCTTGAACCAAGATCAATCATTTTTTTAGCTTTTGATGATCAGTGAGAAGACACTCGATCAAACAGTGCCCAGGATCCTCCTTTTGTTCTCCCACATACACGATGTCCACAAATCCCTTAGAAATGGATTTAATGATAATTGTGTCTTCTTTTTCAAGAAACTTCTTGAGTTTCTTCATAGGATTCTCCATGGCTATGATAGCTCCTTGTCATAGGTATGGCAACTTCTTCTCCTCCCAATGTATCCATTAAACGTTGAAGATGAAAGTGATGATGATAATTTTCCTTCAAGGTGGTCTGATGTAGAAAATACAAGTGATAAACCTAAATGTGTCTAGGGTCATATTCCACGAGCTCTTTTGATAGTAACTACTCAAACCTAACCTATTGAGCTTGAATTGAGATGCAAGGAAAATTAACTATGATGTGGGTTGAGTTGTCCTTTGATTTTTGCTTCTACTCTACTATGCAAGAATGAAAAAAAGCAAACAATGTAATGCAAACAAGAAAACAAACAATGCAAGCAATAAAAATTAATGTTTAGGTAGTACCTCTAGATGATCATGCATTTATTCTCATTAACAAGATTCTTCAATGCTTCTACTTAAGATGACTTATCCCTAAGGTCACCTCTGCCCGTGCATGGGTCTCTTGCGATAGAGATTTGACTAGCTAATGCATGCTTTCGCATCATGCCATCACCTAATCAATGAAGTTGTGGGCTTCTACAAACCATATTAGATGGTCTATATATCGTTGATGATCTAAGAACAAAGTATTGATACTAGTCGATGCATGGATGGTTAGCTTTCACTCCCATACATGCCTAGCATCAATGGAGTATCACTAGATGGTAATTTCTTGACAACCTAGATAATACTAAGCACAATGCATATAGTGGCATACAATATAATCATAACCATCAATTAACTAAAGCGAGCAATATTGTAGAATCGAAAATCTCAAGCAATTGATGATACACGCATAAATTACTCATGCATCGATGGTACACGCATTGAACACAATAAGCATCTCATTGAATCATATAACTAGTACAAAAAAACACCATCGAATTACATCCCTAAACAGTTTGATTTAGCGATGCATAGAGAAGTAGAACAACCTCACCATTGATACGTTCCTCGATGGTGGATACTTCATAGTCAAGCTCCAACAAGGCTTCTCCTCCTTCTGTGGATTTCTAACTCGTGCCAAGTGGGGCAGAGTGGTAGTAAAATGTGTGTAGAATGTATAGTCATGTGCATCTATCTATACTAGTTACAAAATATCTCTTTCTAGTCTTTTCCCTTCTAAAGTCTTCCAAAATCTTCCCTATCCAACTAGAACACGGATTCTTTCGACTAGTGGACAAAGTTACTAGCAAAGGAAGCTTACTGGAAGGCTAGGGAAAGCGGCGATGCCACGGCAATTGGACCCGCCACCCTCAATTCTTCTCAAGCTTTCCCATTTTTTGTGGTAAATTTCATCTTGGGCTCATGGATCTGCTCCTGAAATTTCAGCTCGTTTGAACTTTATTTGACTCATCTACTCTATAAAATATTATTCTCTGGTCCATAACTTGAGCTTCCTGTGTTAGAATCCATCTCTCTTTCAGCTCATGAGCTTATATTCTCGACCTCCTTCTAATCCATTAGGACCCTTGGTGTTCAAAATTCGTTTTGAGTATTTATAACCTTGAAAATCACAAAATGACACCATAAAGGCATCAAATAGTACAGAAATACACTTAAGGTCTATCTTAAGCACATTAATCAAATAGTTATGAATTCCATTTGAAATATAGTCAAAACTATTAAAGATGCATTGATAGAAGGGGAAAATGTATCATATATGGGATCGATAAACACTATAAATTGAGTTTCATAAAAAATATTCCACACTTAAAACTTTGCTTGTCCCCAAACGAGCACTACTCTGATGTAATATTCAAGAGATAAATGCCTAGAGATGTCTATGATCGTATTCCAAAGAGTCTTTCAATAGTAACTATTGAAACCTAAATAAGTTATTCGATGTATGCAGTGCAAGAAGTAAAACCCGTGCATGCGCCTCTTGCGATAGAAATTTGACTAGCTAATGCATGTTTTTGCTTCATGCCACCCCTAATTAATGAAGAACTAGGAAGTTAATATATCATATCGTTAATTGTGGGCTTCTACGAGCCATAACTCTAGTTTATAGCATTGAGGATATAAGAATAAAGCATCATCCTTAGTCATGCACATAAGGATAGCTAATCTTCCTATACACGCCTAAGAAGGATGCCTACTACACGAGATTAGTTTTCTTGTTTCCCATAATAGTAGTATAAACAATGACTATAGTAGCATCATCATTGACTCACATGCATAGAGTATTAAGTTATCATAAGAAATAAAGCATTGATGAGCATACACAAGAGATGACTAAAGCATTGTGAATACAATAAAGCATCCAAAGGCATAGGAATCGATAATCTTAACATAAAATGAGATAAACAACTTATTAAGTCATAAACAGAAATACATAATCACCATAGAATTCACATCCCTAAATAGATCAACTAGCAATACAAAGGAGAGTGGAGTGAAATCACCATTGATATAGGCTTCGATGATGAACCCTTCCTTGTTGAGCTCCAATAGGGATTCTCCAACTCTTGTATGGATCGCTACTCATGGCCAGTGGGACAGAGTGTTGGGTAAAAGGTGTTTATAAAGTCTACGCATGTGCCTCTAATTATACTAGTTACAGAAGGTGGGTTTTCTAGTATTTTCACTCCTAAAGCCGGCCATAATCGCCCTTAACCAACTAGAAATCGGTTTCCTTCTACTTGTGGACGAAGTTACTTGCAAAAGAAGTCTCCTTAACGAATTAGGGGAAGCGTCGGTGGTTGATAACACCAAAATTATCTATTTGCTTGAGTTTCATTATAATAATAATTGGCAGCAGATTGCTAAAACTACTTGGGGATTTCAATAGAAATCAATTGCAGGTTGGATTAGAAATTAGAATAATAGAGATTAAATCTCTACTTACTTGATTTTGATTGTGCAGAGTTCTATATGGACAGATATTATGCGGGAAAAAAACCAAGACAAATTCAGAAGTTCAGGGGCATGAAGTTAGCAGCACAACTCCTACGCCTGAACATGATTCTCATTCAACACGTCCATCAATATTGGCACAACCATATCTTTCCAGTAAATCACTCTAGGCCTTGCTTTGGATTTAAGGAAATTGAATTTGATACGAGTTCTCTGAAAGCTGATTTCGGGATTAAGAGAACATGTAGCATGCTTTAATCCCGATGTTCAAGGTATGGTTAGAAAATATTATCGTCAAAAAGGTCCTTTTTCAACCCAATCATAATCTTCCATCTAAAAATGTTGGGGAAAGGATTCATAGCTTCAAATCTACTTCGTACAAAAAAAAATCATTGACTGGAATATAGCATTGCGAAAGATGCGGCATAATGTTTGCTTTGCTATTTTTGTAGGAGTGATGATAACAACAATAGTCGAGCTACTACTTTCATTTCTAATGGTTTAAAGCATGGAATAGTGCAAATGGATTTGAGAAAATAGGGAAAACAGGACAACCACATTGGTCTTGTCAGTAGTGAGCACCAATAAGGCTATGAGAAAGGGAGAGGATCTGTGAACATAGCTGTAAAGCATTAATGTTGCATTATATAAACAATCATTTCAAGCAAAGATAGGTTGCAGAAATCATTTACAAGCTTCAATTAGGGGTGGCTATTTGGACCGGGACCGGATTAAAAACCCGAAACCGGACCGTATAACCCGGACCGAGACCGGACCGGGACCGGATAGTAAACAATCCAATCCAATCTTTGGGCTTAGATTTGAGGTAAAAAACCGGATAAAGACCGGATAAGAGAGCTCAACACCCAAAACTTAAGGGTAATTTGCATAAACGGTCACAAACCTTTGCACTTAGTACAAAACTTAACCAACTCCTCACCCTTTAAGGCCTTAGGCCACTCAAATCCCACAATCTCAATGTAAAATCAAGACCGAATTGGGACCGGACCGGATCAAAACCAGACCGGATCAAGACCGGACTGTATCCAATCCAATCTTCGGTCCTTATATCTTCAAAAAGACCGGACTGGACCGGATCAATTTGGGCCAATTTAACCGGACCGGACCGTATAGCCACCCCTAGCTTCAATTGATTGCATTAGGCATTGTGTACCCCAAGGCCATGCACTTCATTGGCATGGAGAGTCAGCAAGTTTGAAGAATAGAGGGAATTTTTTTGAACTTCATGGCCATGCTCGTGGTAGAGTGAATGTGCAAAGTTTTGTGATGGAAAATGCTCCTAAAAATCTTCAAGTGACTTCTACGGATATACAAAAGGATATTGTTAATGCAATTGCCACTGAAATATCTGAAGAAATCATTTGTGACTTTGGAGAAGATCTTTTTACCGTTTTGGTTGATGAAGCTTGGGATACTTCAATCAAAGAGCAGATGTCTATTCTGTTGTGTTATGTAAACCAAGAAGGATATGTGAAGGAGAGATTTCTTGGGAGTGCTCATGTTGCAGATACTAAATCCATGATACTAAAGATGGAGATTGAATTGATGCTTGTGAGAAATTGATTGAGATTGTCAAGAATAAGGGGATAATGTTATGATGGAGCTAGCAATATGAGTGGGGAAATCAATTGGTTCAAGGCTTTGATTTTGACATAAAATTCATCCGCTTACTAAGTTCATTGTTTTGCCCAATTACTTCAGTTAACCCTTGTTGCAGTTGCTAAAAATCATGGTGATGTTAGTGGATTCTTCACCACTGTACTAACATGATCAATTTGGTAGGAGAATCTTCCAAGAGGATGGACAAAATTTGAGAAAGCCAGGCAGGCTTCTAAAGTTGTTGAAGCTTTATGTTGTGGTGAAATTGAGACTATACGAGGGCTAACTCAAGAAGTTGGCCTTAAAAAGCCTTGTGATACTCGTTGGGGATCACATTTTGACACACTTCTTAACTTGTCTGTGATATAGTCTTCCGTTATTGATTGTTTGGATATCATCAAACATGAGGCAAAAGGTGAAGCATCTGTCACATTGATGTGTGTTCAAACTTTTTATTTTGCATTCATCTTGAACATGATGATTAGAGTGCTAGCAATTACTAATAAGTTGTCTGCAGCATTGCAAACGAAAGATCAAGACATGGTGAATGCATGCACCTTGTTCGTGGGGCAAAGTTTAGTTTACCTGATTTGAGGGATAAAGGATGAGATTCTCTTCTCAACACTATGCTTTCCTTCTGCAAGAAAGAATGTCTTCCCATTTTCAACATGGATAATTTATACAATCCATTAAGATTAAGGAGAAATTCTAAATAAATCACCAATCTGCATCATTACAAGGTTGAGTTATTGTACACATTTGTGGATATGCAGTTACAAGAGCTTACCAATCGTTTGATGAGGTGAACACTGAATTTTATTTTATATTTTTTTTTATTGCATCGTATCCACCCTAAGAGAAATTCTGGCTACTCCACTGAATGTGTTGAATAATAATTGTGCCATCTTGAACTAATTCTCGTAAAATGATACTTAATATCTATGTGCTTAGTGCGAGAATGTTGAACAGGATTCTTAGTTATGCATATGGAACTAGTATTATCACAAAACATTTGGATCGGGGAAATGTTTTGTCCATAGTTTAGAAGTTGACTTTTAAGCCAAAGATGCTGAGAACATGTGTTGTCGATAGCTATATACTCATCCTCGGCAGTTAATAGAGCCACCTCTCTTTGTTTCTTACAAAACCATGACACAAGGGAAGTTCCAACAAATCGGTAGCTTCCAGTTGTGCTTTCTCTATCGGTAATGATTCCTGCAAAGTCAGAATCACTATACCCAAGAAGATCAAAATGATCTTTTATAGGATAGCATAGACCTACATCAAGGGTACTTTTTTAAAGCGAAAAAATGCATTTTATGGATGCCATATGACTTTTCTTAGATTGACTACCAGTGAGATAGAGGAGAGATCCTATCATGCCTCTATATTTGGATTCATCTATTGCAACACATGTTTCGTCTCTATTGTGTTTAAGATTTGTTGCCATAGGAGTGGAACTAGTATTGAGGTTGGTCATGTCAAATTTTGTGAGCATTTAGAGATGTAGTTTGATTGGTTAATAAATGTTTAATGGTCAGTTTGTTAAATTTGAAGACCAAGGAAAAGTTTTAATTCACCCATCATACTCATCTCATAAACAGTTTTCATAGATTCACAAAATTCAGTACACACGGATTAATTTTTAGAACCAAAAACGATATCATCAACGTAAAATTGATCTAGAATCTGATTATTTGATGTTCGTTTTGTAAAGAGGGCTTTATCAAGTGATCCTTGTGTAAATTTTTGTTCTTGTAAAAAATATGTAAGACGCTTATACCAAGCTCGAGGAGCTTGTTTGAGTCCATATAGAGCTTTTTGCAGTTTAAACACATGATAAGGGAATCTGTGATTTAACAAAACCTTGTGGTTGTTCCACAAAAACATCTCTTTGATGATTCCATTTACGAAAGCAAGGAAAATTCATATAGCAAGCAAAAGTGCAAAGCAGGCGAATGGATTCTATCCTAGCAACATGAGCAAATGTCTCATCATAGTCAATTCCCTCTTCTTAGAATAATCCTCTAGCTACTAATCTAGATTTATTACGGGTTATAATTCCCTCATCATTTGATTTATTTCGATAAACCCCTTTGGTTCCAATTACAGGATGATTTAAAGGCCTAGGTACCAAATCCCAGACATACATATGTTCAAAATGGGTTAGAGTTCTTCTATCATAGAAAAAGACCATTCTTCATCTTGGATAGCTTCTTTATAAATTTTAGGCGCAAATTGAGAAACAAAAGCATATTGTTCATGAGTGTACTTTCTACGTGTGTGTAGACCTTCATTTATGTTACCTATAATTTGAGTAGTGGGAAGTCATTTATGAATGTGTGGTGGAGCTGAGGGTGAGTCTTTCGAGATACCTGGAGGATTGGCAATATGTTCATCTTGTGTTGCACCTTTTTAGATGCTCGAATTCTCCAATATGGGTGTCTTGATTTGTTGTTCTCTTGGACTATTTCTCAGCATCTGATAGTTTAATAGTTTGAGGACAATAATGTGCTCTAATATGTCCATGTTGGCCACATTTGTAGCAACTTGAGGTTCCCTTCCCTTTATTCCTGCATCATAATTTCTTGCCTGCTGGTACAACGGCCTATCTTGGGAGCCAGTTCATAAATTTTCATTAGATGAACGTCGGGTGTCATCAATGTTATATCTTTTTTGTATTTTAACATAAGATGCAAACGTTTGCTTACGATAGCAAATTCCCTTCCAAATTAATCATCTATTTCGTTATCTGATTAATAATTAACCATTTATTATTTAAACACTAGATTCTTCTTACATTTATCATCATCTTCCCCTACTTGTTGTATCACGTGTTCATAGCGAAGAAGAGATCTTATCAGCTCATCAAGAGGCAGAGTATTTAAATTTTTGGCTTCTTCAATTGTCATTCGTTTAGGTAACTAGATTTTAGGTAGAGATCTAAGAATTTTTCTATTTAAATCTTTTTATTGGAAGGTTCTGCCTAGACCTTCCAATATGTTTTAAAAAACATAAACCAAGAATACATCTCTTGAATACATGTTGTGTAGTTTTATCTGGTGAAGATCGGAGGATGATTCAGAGCAACCTGTCCAAAAGAGTTAGAAGTCATGGTTTGTTTACTTGGCAGTAATTAGCTTTGTGAAGACCGGAGCTCTGATACCAATTGTAAACTCATTTCTAGGTTATTTCAAAACTAGAAATGAAAAGGAAGCAAGAAATTCCCAGAGAGAGACATTGTGTTCGTCTATCTGAAGGAACATACTGAATTCCTACTGGTTGGGTTTTAGAACATACCAATGCCCAATTAATTAGTTGTGTTTTAAAACCTAGTTAGAGGGCGGAAAACATCGAGTCTCTAAGTTCTCTAGAGAGCTGGTGGAAACACACACACATAGAACATGTCTGGAAAGTAAACAGGAACTGGAATCTTTAACGTGGTTCGGCCAAGATGGCTTTACATCCACGTCCCAGAATCACCACTCTGATTCTAGAAGACTCTTTTTATTTGATTTTTTATATATCAAACTAAAACGAAAACGAACAAGACTCGATGAATGAATGATAAATTTCCCAGGACCCCATCCCATATCCCAAACAACCGCAATCAATCACAACCTCTTCCCCGGATTATTGAGCCCTTTTGTAACACAAGCCCTCTATCGCTCTCTTACAAAAAGTGGCTTTGAAAGATAGAAGTGTAGCGCTTTTTATAGATGAAGAGGATGAATGGATGGCGGTTTTGGGTATGAATTGTAGACAACCCATCTTTCCATATTTAGATAGAGCTTGATTGATGGAGTGATTCACGAGCTATAATTGAGCAATCAATCAGCTTGATTGATTTGGTCCTGGACCGTTGCATCTTTCAATCTCCTTGCTCCATTTCTCCCCGTATTTTCTTATAGATTTTAAAAACAAAAGAAAAACATAAAAGTAACAAACATAGGGGAATCAAGTGCTTCTCCTCCTCAAAATGAAGTTGAAAATAAAACGAACTCAAAAATTCAGGCTATCTCAATGGTAGCAGTTTTAATTTACTTCCTTAAGTTGGATGCCAGATATGGGTTGTCTCCCATTAAGCAATCTTTCTTTTATTCCTTTTAAGCTAGGCATAACTCCCAATCCTCGAAGGTCCCCGATTCAAGGTGGATAACCTTCAACCTCTTCCCACGAAGGGATTTCGAGATGCGAGAGTCGGACGCTGTGATTCTTCGTCGTTGTCGCCTCATCATGGTGGCCTCGTCGTCACCTCGTCGTGGTGCGCCGCTGCTAGGTTGAGAAAGGTGAGAAGTGATACCATTAGCAGAGAGTTGCGGCTGCGAAGAGGAGAAGAGAACTCTCACTTTAGGTTAGGGGACAACAGTAGCATAGACTTGGGCTTTTAGTTGTAAAGTAGAGTTGTTTTTAGGGCTTTGACCCTGCTGGGGGTGAGTTGTCCTATAGATTTGGGCTTTAGGTTATGGGCTGGCAGTTGGTTATTTGTGACATCCGGTTTCCCGGTCTTAACCGGATTAGACCGGGCCAGTTTTTGCATCCACCCCCACAACTATAAACCAAATTGTATTCTGCTAATACGGTTCCAGTTACAACCGGACCGGTTTATACGTTCCTGTTTCTGGTTCAATTGAAAACTGGGACCGAATTCCCAACCCTAATTACTGTAAGTCCTTCAATGTTGCATCCTTCTTCTTCCATTGCTACTCTCATTGGTTTCCTTATGATCTTCTTCTTCCTTATGTCCCATATTCATGCTTGATCAAGAGGAATTACCTTTTCTTCGCGCTTCTGTAAGCCTGTGGCTTGAAGTGGATCCTGAACAAATGATGGTCAGGTGATGGCTAGTGGCTCCTATCAACTGGCTAGTTGTGTGGTCCACCGGCCGTAAGCACCGTCTTGCAGGAAGGATATTGTCAGCATTACTCTGTCCTCGTCATCCGCTTCAATCTCTTGCAGGGTGTGAGTGACCTTGGACAACCACCTCTTTATACCCGCAGATCCGTAGAGCGATCCTTGTCGAATTTTTCTACTTTCTTCTTCCGAAAAGTGTCATAATCTAGTGGTGGCATGGCTTACATTGGAGGATTGACGTGGCCGTTACTAGCTCTGCAGACTAGTAAGTCCTTGTTAGAATTCAAGTTATTTCTCACCATAAGATTAGAGTAGAGTGGAGATTTTATGAACTCTTAAAAGTAAATCCTTGACTCGATCACCTGTACGATCATCTGTCTCCTAGATGAATGCCATCTCGAAGAAGGATTGGTGGATCTTGGATCCAACATCAACATCCTAACACTCCCCCTCTATGATGGCATGTGTCTAGCCAAAATAGAGGATGTAGAGATGGAAATCGAATTAACTGATAACTCTCCATGCAAGGCTCTTGGAGTCATTCGAGGAATAAGAACAAAAATTGGGTCATTCGTCTTCTACCACAACTATTGATTTGGGCTTAATTATGCATATTTTACACTTTATATCTTGATCATTTGACTTGGTTTTTAGCCTTTTTGGACATATTTTATGTTAGGTTGTGCTTTGTTTGTCACATTTAAGGTCATGTGACGTAAATATGACCGAAGAACGAGTTTCATGATATTTGGAGGTGATAATGGGAAAAAATGAAAAAAAGGTCATATGTCACGGTTGGGGAGCATATGTCAGGGCCACATCGTGACATTGACATGGAAGTCGTGAGACTCGACCAAGAAGCAGGGAGCAAACCATGGATTGCTTACAGCTGGACTAGTCACAACCTTGGTCGTGAGTTTTGACAGGAAACCGTGAGATGCTACAAAACGCTGAGTCTCTCGAGTTCTCTCTCTCTCTCTCTCTTGGTCCTTCCTTATACAAAATTCCTTTACCGAATAATAATCAACGGCATTAAAAAGCGGGATGAGTTCTATATGCAGTGGCAATACGATATGTTACGACTAAGTTGGAATATTGATGTTACATGGTGGATTTAGGTGTTGTTGAATTTTTATATTGGATTCAAATACAAATTTTATTTATTTTTTTATAACGTTATATGTTGTTATTCATATGTTAGATGCAGATCCGGTCTTGAGATTATGAAGACTAGGTTTGGGCAATGATTTGATATAACAATCAGTGTTAACAAACACTGGACAATGATCAGAAACTACATGGTCCAGAATATCCATTGTGCTCGAGCTAAACACTTCAAGCCATTTGCAATTGACAAAGTCTCTATCTAATCTTCTTGCAATTGGGTTTCTAGATTGCTTATTGATCCACGTGAACCATGGACCTGATGCTTTGTGCTAAAAAATCTCTATATCAAACTGCCACTTCCTAAATTCTAGCATACTTGAACTGACTGCTGGAGAGTTTGAGGCTTCATTAACATCACCTATAGCGTTAAAATCCCTCAGTATGACCCACAACTCATATTGAACTCGCAGATTCACCAGGTGACTATATAGTTCTCTTATATCAATCTCCTCTCAATGCGTTCGAGCCAAATGGAAGGAAACAATGGGGGACAAGGGAGAATCCCTCGAGGCTTCCTGATCAAGAAATCTTCGTGCCTTCAACCTATGCACGAGATACGGAAGAAAAACCCTAAAGACGGTGACGTTATCAGCAAGTCAAGGCGGGGGCATGGGAGATCCAATATGATGGGTCCTCAATTGGGGTGGTTTGAAAAAGAAAGGCAAGGTGCCAGCTCGATACACAGGGTAAACGAGGCGCTGGAAGTACAAATTCCTCAGGCAATGACGAAAACCAAGAGCGAGGTGATGGTTGAACCCCGACGAGTGACTACATCTTGACGCCGTCTCCTGCTGTCTGATAATTCCGTGGAGGGACCACCAGCGTAGGAAACGACAGGAGTAGGAGGGGGCACCTCAAAAAGGAACTCGGAATATGAGTGCACAAATGCTCCGTCTCGACAGTATAACGCTGGGAATGGACATGTTCCTGTGAAGCTGCCGCAATAGAAGGGAGAGAGAGACCTGAAGAAGGATAAACACGCAATGAAGTTGGTAGATTTTGGTGAATTCACTTATGAAGAGAAGTGGGAGCAGGGCTTTGTAGAGGAAGCATATGATCTTCTTTCCACCCTGTCTCCACGTCAATCACCACCTATAGGCACGCGGGCGGATGTTCCGCTTAGTGACATGGAAATGGTGGATTAAGAGGTCACACCATTAGCCGGAGAGGAGTCTAGTCCGCTCGATCCTCCAGATGTTCACCAATTTGAACTCCGAAGTCGGGTTGTGGACACTAGGAAGGGTGAAGCTCGAATGCCTATTGCTGGGCGAGTTTGCCAGGTGGTGGACGCATTTGAGGCTGGGGAAGTTGGTGCTGGAGAGGTTTTTGGAGTTAGGACGCGTCCTCGGAAAGGCAAGGGAAATCCGCTGGATATGCCCCGATGTGCCACGAGCTAAGAAGGAGGTATGCCCGATAACCTGGACGAATATGGGTCAAATTTGCCGGTGTCCGGCCAGGGAGGGAGGAAGAGGATGTTGCATGAGGTGTTTGGGGAGTTGACCGATGATCGAGCCAGCGAGTAGGTTCCCGACGTATTCAGGGATTAGGTTTTTCTACTTCACATTGTTTTTTCGAAGATGCGGTTAATGCATCAGGTGGTCTATTGACCTTGGTCTCCACGATCATGGATACCAAGGTGACCAATTTACTTGGACGAACAAACGGATGGGTGCTGCTTGTATTCGAGAGAGGCTGGACAGGGCTCTGTGTTCACAGACTTGGATCGATCGCTTTTCGAGTACCCTTCTCAAGCATTTCACGGATCAGGGGTCTGACCATCGGGCTCTAATGTTGTCGGATAAGCCCTATGTAAGGAATAGTCGTCCCCTTTTCCGTTTTGATGCTCGTTGGGCTGATAATCCTGAGGTGAAAGCCATGGTGAATTATGTTTGGCAAGAGACAATCCAGGGGACTCCGATGTACCATCTTTGGGAGAAGCTTAAGAAACTTCTTCACTTGCTCTATTATTGGAGTTGGGCGGTTAATACTAACTCCCTTAGAAACATTAAAACCCTCCAAGCTGAGATTCATCGAATCAAGTCAATTAACCCCATTTATTGGGATGAAGTGCGAAATCTTGAAACTGAATTAAATAGACAGTGGAAAGCGGAGGAAATCTAATGGCAGCAAAAATCTAGAGTCCAGTGGCTGAAGAAGGGTGA